TCTATATATATATATATATATATATATATATATATATCATTTTATCTACCTATTTTAGTCTGTTAATACCTATTGTCTATTTCATTTGAGTCATATCTGTCCATCTATATATTCACTTGATTCATATCTATCTATCTATCTATCTATGTACCTATCTATTTAATTATGTATATATATATATGCATATATATATATATATATATATATATATATATATATATATATATATATATATATATATATATATATATATGTTAGCTCTATCTCTGATCGCTTTCTAATAAGTACAGGGGCATATAATATATAAATAATTATACATATATATATTTATTTATATTTATATACCTTTTCATATATATATATATATATATATATATTTCAGTCTATTCATATTTATCTATCTATCTCTCTCTCTATATATATCATTTTATCTATCTATTTCAGTCTGTTAATACCTATCTATGTTTGTGTGTGTTGTAGCATACCTACAGACGATAATGGGCATGCCCCCATTCCCATAGTGAATTCTGTATGTTGGTTTGCAGATTGAGATTCGTCTCCAGCTGTACTGGTCAAACTCTCCGGGCAGAAAGGATCCCCAGACGAGTCTCTGTCGCAGGGCAGAGTCTCGTCTCGGGAAATAGATACTCGACTCCGTTTTATACGGTGTCTACGGCGAAGTTTTGGCCGATATTACGGGCTAGGATACTCCACATTAAATTCGGCCTTGTGCCCCATCTGACCGCGTAAGGCGGTTGGTAGATATCCTTCAGCTGGAGATTCATTGTGGAATTCACTTGACTCACTTTTAGCAATTGACTACTTCTTCTACACACTGCTAGCGAATCTTATGTGCGTTGTTCGTGTCCTAAGTATTATCGTTCATTTCCTACCTTCTTGTTATTATTCTATTCAGTAGCCTTCCCTAGGTTACAACATATATATATATATATATATATATATATATATATATATATATATATATATATAATTCTTTTTATATCTATATATCTATTTTAAAACGAAATAGCCCATTATTTATGAGGTATTAGCAGGAGACATTAAAAACTTCTATCTTTCGCTCTTTTTTTTAAACTTTATTTTTTCAACTGAAAACAAGTAACGTCACAAATATGTCTTTGTTATTTGCCCACGATCAAAACAGAATAGAAGTAACGTCAAAGGTGCATTTTTTCTGTGTCAAGATGGGAATGATATTCTCCCACTTTTCAGTCATATAATTACATTAAATATATACGCCGTAATAAAAACACTAGTTCAGGGGTTCCCAGACTAGGGTTACCGCTCATCCAGCGGGTGGGAAGTGGAATTTCATTTGAATGCAATAAAATGGCTTTTGCTCTAATATCAATACTTTCCTTTTTTTCATCGAAACCAAGTAGCGTCACTATTGTGTCTTTTTTATTTGCACGCGAACAAAACGGAATAGGCTTTATTTATGAGGTATTGGCAAGGCTTGTCGGTCGTGCGAACAAAAGAACTAAAGAAGGGTGAGATAAGAACAATTATTATATGATATTTACAAATAACGTGAAAGGTGCATTTTTCCGGTGTCAAGAACGGAAAGATATTCTCTCTCTCTCTTTTCAGTCATATAATTACATTAGATATATACGCCGTAGTACAGACACTAGTTCAGGGTTTCCCAGACTAGGGTTACCGCTCATCTAGCGGGTGGGAGGTGGAATTTAATTGAGGTGCGACAAAATGGATTCGGCCCTTAAGTTATTACTTTCTTTTTTCCACTGAAACCAAGTAGCGTCCCCGGTATCTATTTCTTATTTGCACGCCATCAGAACGGAATAGTCTATTATTTACCAGGTATTGGCAGGGCGTGACGGTCGTGCGAACAAAAGAACTAACCAAGCCTGAGATAGCCACAATTATTATTTGATATTTAGAAATAACGTGAAAGACGCATTTTTTCCGTGTCAAGATGGGAAAGATACAAATATGCATATTACATCTTCGCTTTTATAGACAAAAACTGGCATCGGCGTCGTGTAATTGCCAAAAAACGACGACGAAATTTCTACACGTACTACTTTCAGAAGTATATATCTGCGTGTTCGTTCCCGTGTGTGGGTATGTGTGCGCATGTTTGTGCGCACGTGTTCATGCTCGTGTGTGATTATATAAACATGTACGATAAGAGAAAAATGAGAAACTGTAAAAACAACCATATTGTTTTAATCCCTTCTAGCATTTATCTGCTTATCTTAATTCTTTTTCTCTCTGTGTATATCCAACCGTTCTCCATTATATGTTTTGAATGTGTTTTTCTTACTTTCTTTTCCCGTCGACGTATTATTAAATTTTGGCTAGACACGTTTAAGTTAAGAAGACGATATTGATTTAAATAATCATAAATTGTTTGTAGAAAAAGACTATTATATAGAAATTACTCTCACTTTCCAGTCAGACAGATACATTAAATATATACGCCGTAGTACAGACACTAGTTCCGGGGTACCCAGATTAGTGTTCCCGCTCATCTAGCAGGTGTCTGGTGGAATTTCATTGGGGTGCGACAAAATAGCTTCTATCCTTAAGTGATTACTTTTTTTTCCACTGAAACCGAGTAGCGTCCCCGGTATGTCTGACTTATTTGATCGAAATCAAAATGGAATAGTCTATTATTCATGACTTATTGGCAGGGTATGACGGTCGTGTATACAAAGAAACTAACGAAGGATGAGATAGACACAGTTATTACAGGATATTTAGAAATTATGTGAAATGCGCAGTATTTATGCCAAGATGGGGAAGATATTCATACAGATACGCATATCACATCTTCGCTTTTATAGACAAAAACTGGGATTGGTGTCGTGTAATTGCCAAAAAACGACGACGAAATTTCTACACGTACTACTTTCAGAAGTATATATCTGCCTGTTCGTTCCCGTGAGTGGGTATGTGTGCGCATGTTTGTGCGCACGTGTACATGCTCGTGTGTGATTATATAAACATGTACGATAAGAGAAAAATGAGAAACTGTAAAAACAACCATATGGTTTTAATCCCTTCTAGCATTTATCTGCTTATCTTAATTCTTTTTCCCTGTGTGTATGTCCAACCGGTCTCCATTATATGTTTTGAATGTGTTTTTCTTACTTTCTTTTCCCGTCGACGTATTATTAAATTTTGGCTAGACACGTTTAAGAAGACGATATTGATTTAAATAATTATAAATTGTCTGTTGAAAAAGACTATAATATAGGAATTTTTATCACTTTCCTGTCAGATAATTACATTAAACATATACGCCGTAGTAAACACACTAGTTCACTGGTACCCAGATTAGTGTTCCCGCTCATCTAGCAGGTGTCTGGTGGAATTTCATTGGGGTGCGACAAAATGGCTTCTGCACTTAAGTCATTACTTTATTTTTTTTCACTGAAACCAAGTAGCGTCCCCGGTATATATTTTTTTATTTGCACGCCATCAAAATGGAACAGTCTATTATTTATGAGTTATTGGCAGGGGGTGACGGTCGTGTATACAAAGGAACTAACGAAGGGTGAAATAGGCACAATTATTATATGATATTTAGAAATAACGTGAAAGGCGCATTTTTTCTGTGTCAAGATGGGAAAGATATTCTCCATATCTTTTCGGTCATATATTTACATTAAATATATACGCCTTAGTAAACACACTAGGTCAAGGACTCTTAGACTAGGGTTCCCGCTCATCCATCAGGATGGGGGGATTTCATTGGGGTGCGACAGAGTGGCACCTTTAAGTCAATACTTTTTTTTCACTGAAACCAAGTAGCGTCCTCGATATGTCTTTTTTATTTGCACGCGATCAAAACGAAATAGTCTATTACTTTGTCGCCGCTTATAATGTCCATTGAATTCCATAGTAAAGCCCTAGATCTACAGGTTATGTTGCCTGAACTGCCAGGAAATATAATATTGAAATAACATAGAATGCAACAGAGTGACTTCTGTTATTGAGTCCTCATCCAGCCAGCTGTCTTTTTTGTTCGTTGATTTTGTTTATCAGCATATCAATCTCTCGTGGTTATTTAATGCCGAAATCTAAATATTTTGTACACAATTTTATTTTTTTTATTATTTTAACAGGAGATAATAGTGGTTTTAGTGATACAAGTCCTGCTAAGTGACCCATAGATGCGGGAGATGTGGTCGATTTATTTATTTCCAAAGGCTATTTGCGCTTAAGTGCGAATCTGACGAACCTAACTGGAATTGGAACTAGTCTCTCCGATTTCAAATACTGCTTCATTATCCATTACACATCCAAGCTTACAGTACCTGGTATTCCCAAGCGGTCACCCATCCAGGCTCGACTTTGCTTAACTTCGATGATCGTAACATTCCGGGGAAGGTCTTCTGTTAGTGAACAAAAGAAAAGTAATGGATATTTGTTCAGAAAATAGGCAATCAACCAAGTACTGAAATGAGAAAAAGTTTTTTTTTTATTTACACTATTTTCATGCGGAATATTGTCTTCATCTTTGTTGTGGTTATCATAACGTTTCGGTCGTTGTATCCTCCGGCCTTCATCAGGTGTATGTTGATCCGGGTAAACTACTGGGAATTTCTGAACCTTTTATTTAATATACGTGCGGGGCTGGGCGAAGACTTTCTCGTTCCATTTCTTATGTCTAGGTATATCTCGTGTCGTTCTTATTTTTTAGTACTGCTCAGTTACAGCTTGCACTGTCTCCACTGTGTTATCCTGTACAAGGTCTGAAAGCCACTCGAGGTAGGGTATTACAGAGTAAGAGATACAGATATGTGCAGAAGGAAACACTAGACTTGAATAGATTAAGATTGTAGTGATCAGGGAAGCAACCTCTTAGGAGTCGGCTTCAGAAGCCAGTGGTTGGCGGGAACAAGCTGCTCAAGTGGAACTAGCATCTCACCAATGGAAGACAAAGGTACTGAGTGCGGTTCGATTAACAATTCCGAGCCGTTATCCATTACACCACCCATACATCCATGCTTACAGCATCTTGTATTCCCAAGCGGACACCCATCTTGGTAATGACTGGACTTGACGTTGCTTAACTTCGGTGATCGTACGGGAACCTGCGTTTCAATGTGATATGGATGTGTGTGTGTGAGAGAGAGAGAGACAGATGAATAGTATGAGATAGATAGATAGATAGATAGATAGATAGATAGATAGATATGAAAAGATTTAGAGAAATAGAAAGAGAGATATGAAAAGTTTTAGCTAGATAGAAAGAGAGATAAATATGAAAAGATTTAGATAGATAGATAGATAGATAGATAGATAGATAGATAGATATGAAAATATTTAGATAGATAGATATGAAAAGATTTACATAGAGAAACAGAGAGAGATATGAAAAGATTTAGCTAGATGGAAAGATAGCGAGATGGATGCGAAAAGATTTAGATAGCTAGCTAGCTAGCTAGCTAGCTAGATAGATAGATAGAAAGAAAGAAAGAAAGAAATGAAAAGATTTAGATAGAAAGAAAGAAAGAAATGAAAAGATTTAGATAGAAAGAAAGAAAGAAAGAAATAAAGAAAGAAAGAAATGAAAAGATTTAGATAGAAAGAAAGAAAGAAAGAAAGAAAGAAAGAAAGAAAGAAAGAAATGAAAAGATTTAGATAGATGTCGAGCTTTGGTTTCAACTTTTCGGTATCTTCAGCAGGCGATTTCGGTCAATCCAAATCATTTTACCAAAATTGCCTGAAGATATCGAAAGGTCGAAATCAAGGTAGCGGAATCGGCTGATTTTCTACTTTTATACATATATTTATATATATATATATATATATATATATATATATATATATATATATATATAGAGAGAGAGAGAGAGAGAGAGAGATAAATAAAGAGCAGACTTGTATAATAGATAGATAGATAGATAGATAGGAGAATTGAACAACAGAAAGAAAGAATAGATAGATAGATAGATAGATAGATAGATAGATAGATAGATAGCAGACGTGAACAACAGAAAGAAAGAATAGATAGATAGATAGATAGATAGATAGATAGATAGATAGATATGAAGATAGATAGAAAGAATAGAGATAGATAGAAAGAAAGAATAGATAGATAGATAGATAGATAGATAGATAGATATGCATTGCTACTGACACAATGACCGTCCGAAATGCAGTCTATAAGAGTTTAAGATCTCATATCACAGTGCTCTAAGAAAATACATACAAAAAATAAGAAAAGATATCATATTCTTATATTACAGCGTTTTGCACAGTTAATTTGTTCAAAAGTTCACATGCTTAAGAGCGTTAAAAAATTATTCAACTGCTGGTATCTATCTGAGAAAATAAATATATATATATATATATATATATATATATATATATATATATATATATATATATATATGGAATTTTTTTCTTTATGAGTGTGAAATTTTGCAAATGAACCGCTGAAAAGTTCAACAAAGCCAAAAAAAATATGGGATTGTGAGAAGAGAACTGATGTGTTTGTAAGCCATTATCTTTGTGCCTTGAGATGGTTTGAAACATTCAATGGCGCCACTGAAGCTGATTGTCGTAATTAGTAAATATGCTATTTTACGATAATCAATTAATTTTCTAGATTCAGCTCTCCTTTGTTAATCAGGACAAAATCTTGGAATCGCTTGAATAAAGAGGCAGACCGGCAATTTACGCGGCCTTTTTGGTGATGGGTTTTATCTAACCTGCAACCCCTTCCCCACAGACAAAAAATGTGGTCCAGCCTCTCGCTACTTTGTCACTATTTCCAATGCACATATTCTTACGAGATCCAATAGTTTAAACCTTCACAGTTACGACTCACCTTGCCACGTACACAGGGTCAACTTATCCTTATTACGTTCGTATTCCATTAGTGAGGAGGAAGTCCCACTCGGACAGATTCTTCTCCAGAACTGTTGTGAAAGGAACTCCCAAGAAGACTCTACTACGATCACTGCAGTCTTCACCACTTCAACTCGAAGGTCAACCGTTATCTACCCTACCTATCTGATAAATCCCGGAAAGGGATATATTTGTTCGAAGTAGTAAAGTGGTTGTTGACTACCGTAACCGGGTAGGACAATCTAGCAGGTAACCGTAATGGGCTGGTCCTCGTCGTAGTGGTAGGCAATAGGTGTAGGCAATAGGCGTAGGCAATAGGCGAAGACTATAGGCGTAGCCAATAGACGTCGTCTTGTACCTCCACATCAGTCTGTATTTATGGCTGACACCAGCCAATCATATTCCTGTGAGGGGGAACCCAGGTGTATGCATATTCATTACATCACTATTCTCACTACATGTACCTCTTGTTCCCCTTCTGTACGCCTTTTGAAGAACTTAATTCAGTTACCCTCTGTCTGAAGTGCCTGTTGAGTAAACAATAGTTAAAATTAATAACGATATTACGTACACTTCTCTCTTTATATTTTTTCTCACCGATTACACAACCCCTCATCTGTTTGCATCTTCTAATACCAAAATCCTGTTTCTTGAAGTCTCTGGTTGAGACTTATGGAAAGATAAAGCACAGCAACAATAATAATATTATATTGAAACGAGTTATTTTCCAAGCTTTCCACAAGGCCGAAAGTATGGGGACCCCAGTGAGGATCGAACTCACTATACAGTCGTAATTGTTCTAGCAAAATATGCTTGCTAAACATTACACCACCTCGAGGTGCTCAAAAGTAATTTTCCAAGCGTATCTTACGTGTGGCACAAGGTCGAAAGTATGGGGCACCTCGTGAGGAGCGAGCACATTACGCAGTCGTAATTGTTCTAGCGAGACAAACCATTACACCACCTCGAGGTGTAATGAAACTACACACTTTAAGTGAGTTCCTGAAATAAACTTTGAATTAAAGTTTTGAAAAAAACAAAAACAAAAAAAACTGCAAAACACATACACAAAAAGACGAAAATACTTCGGGTTTCACATAACGACACAAAATATTTTCCAAATCGTTACCGTTTTTGAGGAAACAGGTTTAAAGATTAAATTTAAAATCGTAGCTTAGGAATTTCGTTCCGGTGATCAGTGAAAGCCTTATGTTGATTTTCTTAGCGTAGCTTCGATGTGGCACAAGGCTGAAAGAGTGTGGCACCCAGTAAGGATTGAACTCATTTTTCAGTCCAAACTGTCTTAGCGAGACAAGCTAACATTTACACCACGCCGAGGTGCCCAAGCACAGTCTTATAAAATTTATTATAGTGTATGTTATACAGTGCAGTAGTTTTAAAGTGACTTTAAATAAACAATGCAAACTTAAAACATTTTGTCTTATGATTCATGCCCACAAGTCTTATGATGTTGTATACACTTTTATCTATTTTTGTTTTTATTAATTATGATCTAAGAAATAATCGAACAACTTTTATTCGTTGAGTAGCCATTTTTGTAATTTTTCTCAATTTTTACAGTTTTTCTTATCGAATACAGTAAAAAAAAATTACATATTTTTCTTGAGGTGATTCATAATTAGAATTCTGGTTTGAATATATTTTCAATTCAATGTATCTAATAAAAAGGTTAACTTTATTGGAATTTATCTTTGAAATAATAATTTTTTTAAAACTCAGTTTGTCAGTAAAAACGTTCAGAAATTAGGTATTTCTATATATTTTTCAAACGATTTTTAAAACCAAATGCTGAAAAGTTGGTAAAAGCAATATTTATCCTGTTTAATACAGAAATGTGGCACAAGGCCGAAGGGGGGGGATTAAGGAAAAGACGGCCTTCTTCTGTCTTAACTATAACTTTGTTAGCCACAAACACTGACCCAATAGTACGAACAATATTCCATCCACCAAAACAACACATTCATACGCACCTTTCTTACTACATTCACCATAATACCACATTGTCTCTATGAAAATACTAGTCCACATATTTACAATTCACTGTCTGTGGGGGGGGGAATAAAACAATTCTAAAAACTACCCCCAATGAGTATTTACAATATGAATACAAAACTATTTACAAGAAACTAAAGAAAATAATATTAGTAATAAAACTCCCACAAACACTAAATGTGGCAGAAATATCAGTTAACTGTCCGAAATCAATGCGGCACTATAATAATATAAAACATTCATTCATCCCAAGTACTCACACTGACATGCACTCATTCAAACACAACAACAAATACGAAAACACTCACGCGAAACGAAAGGCGCCCCGCATCTACCAGCGAATTGACATCACTGACCACCTAACGAGGGAGGGGATGAGGAATTAATCTCAAAGAAAAATAGGGACAGAAATAAACGGGGCCAAAGAGCATACATACACTAGCTTAGTTAACTTGAAAGAAAAAGAAACTAAGCTATCAAAACTGTACCTAACCTAGCCTAGTTTGGGGATGGGTTCCACAAGTTCAACCCAGGAAGAGCAATATCCTGATGCCTAACCGGCATCAAAGTGCCACTCAAGGTCAGTCCCTTTCACACGACACAAACGCGCAAGATTCACCCGCGTTTTGCTGAATTCTGATGAAGTGAGCCGCCGCCTTTCCGACCTAATCTTAACCTTAAGCTGATGCTTAAAGAACAAGATCAGTTGGGAAGAAGTGAATCTCTTGTCGTCATAGAATCCCTTCTAGCGTGTCGTCCAAATCACGACTCTCATAACACCTAGCAAGCAGTGGAACACATATTGTTCAGCCTTCGTCAGCGGCGGTGCCACATTGCTACAAATGGAAGAGGCCTCAATGACAAAGAACTTTCCTTGCAGCATGCAGACCATGAGGCCTTTAACAAACATGCACAAAGGTACTACCAACCTGCAATGAAAGAAGGCGTGACCCAGGGTCTCGACCTCCCCATCACAGCGTCGGCAGTTTGGAGATTTCTCCAAGCCCGCTGAGCAAAGTCTTTTGGCGACCCAGAGCGCCCCACGAATCATCAGCCAGGTGAGTGATGCCTCATCGTTATTGAGACATTTCAAACAGGGCGCCCAAGGTAATATTGAGCGAGCCGCCTGCTTCGTAAGTCCGAGCTCGTCAATCAGCTCATCACAAACGGACCCCCTAACACTTGATATAATACCCTACGAGATAACGCCTGGACGTTGGAGAGGCCATCCGTTGCCCATAAGAGG